GCCCCAACCAAGCCAGCTGGTCTTTTTCATTGGGAGTAACTCTCAAATTCGCACACAGAACAGAGGAGTCTGCAATGCCACAAAAGACCCTTCACACTTTTTGGAGTTTCATATTTTTATGAAATTTTATTATTGCTATTATTCTGCTTCCGGGCAGGCCTCTCTTCAAGTCCTTTTTTTCATGCCTTTGTTAATATCAGAATTTAGATTACTGGCACTGAAAAGCCAACAACTCTGATAAATTGCAGCACAAGCCTGACTCCCCTTCCCAAACTTAGCTCCTGAATAAAGCTGTGGTCTAACTGTTCTGCTTAATAGAAGCCAAAAGCAAAATCCTCCAACGCGTTCCCTGCTAGGATACAGATTTCACATGAGACAGAGGTATGCAAGGCAGCCAGCCCCAGAACTTCTGCCAGGGCTATGGTACGCTGCACAGATGTGTAATTCCTTCTGAAACCTCTGCAACATCTTTCCACTTCCAGTGCTTCATAACAAGGGATAATACTTTCCGCTAAGAATACTAGCACCAGCAAGACGGGGCATTTTTACACCTACACACAAAAGATGAGCCACCCTGAGGTGTGAGCAGCTAAATGGAAGAGGACGAGAAAGTAGTAGGTTCTGCTGCAACTTTTGGAAAGGTGTCACACACCATACTTCCTAACATGGGATGAGGTGGGTTAAGCTAGAACAGAGACCTGCCCATAGTTATCCACAAAACCCTGCGAGCATCCTTGACATCTCTGTGATGTTCTGGTGGCTGGCAGCGCTACAGCTCCTTCCTGAAGAAAGAGCAGCAGCAGCAGTCTTCTGCTGCATTAAGTAGGAGAAAAAACTATGCTTTTTGCCCCTTCTTTTCTCTTTCTACCTTCTACCTGCAGTTGGGGCTACTATCATTTGCCACCGAAGGTGCAAAAGGGTTGACTTGCTGCCACTCATTTTCCTTTACCAAGCTGCACAACAGCTGCTGGTGGTTCAGTGCTCAGGCCTGTTATGAAGCCACCAGAATGGTCCTCTGCTTTCCTCCTGCTGTCCCTCCTTTCCCTGATAGCCTCTACAGTACTATCAGTTGCCCTTTCAAGACTCAGTATGCAGTCTGCAGAGTCAGTTACCTGCTCATGCCACCACCCATACACCCATGCACATAAATCCCCAGGCATCAGCAGCCTAGGGCATTCTTCTCTTATAAATGTGGAATTATGGAATCCACAATCCTTGTTAACATTGCTGGCATGCAACTCACCTGAGCTGTGGCCACAACACAGGGATGTGCCCCAGCAGATTAGCAATAAAAACAGGAGCCATGTGAAAGTCTGAGTGAAGGGACAGACCCATCCAACTCCATATAGAACTAGGCCTCCTGACAATGGTGCTGGAAAGACGGCCAGAAAGGTTATTTTTCCCTAAATCCCAAGCCACATCTTGCTCTGAAGAGGGAAGAACTGGAAACATCTGGCAAAGAGTAGGAGAAAGCTGCCACATGCTCCAACTCACAGTTCCCCCCAAATCTGGGAGATTTTCTTTGATGTCATGCTTTGGGACAAGACTGCTTTTTTTCTGTAGCATCTGGAGGAGATTTGATGCTTCACCCAGGAGAAGGGAGACATGTCATGCAAGACAGCTTTGTGTCATCTGGGCTCTGGGCAGATGTCAGGTCAGACCAGATCAAAGCACCCCACCAGTTACTCTAAGTTCCTCGCAGCCTTGAACCAGCTAGCCTGAGGGAGGATGTCTCTGCAAAGATGTGCTCTTGCAGGTCTTCATCAACTCTAACATGCAATGGGTCAAGGGCAGGTCTGCAGAACAGCTCTATGCTCTTACCTTATCCAGCCTGGATGAATCACGTCATCTATTACTACTAATGCATACATCACACATATACAATACATATAGAACATACACAACTGTAAATATATTAAAGAGAAGGAGTTTTGCTATTAATTGAGAAATCCCTGAAAGTCTTTACTTTTTTTCCTGAACAACAAAAGATCAGAAAGAAAAGCAGGTCACACCAGTCGGTAGCTACATGGAGTACCTTCAAAGAAGTGCTAAGCGCCAAGGAGAGCAGAATTAAAGGCCAAAGAACCCTGCTAAACTCTTCTAGGGATAAAACCAGGCACTCAGAGATCTGCCCAGAGAAGATTCCATGTTTGTCTTATGCCCAGGGGAGTTTTTGCCCTATCCATGCCAGTTCTCTCCAGCTGAAGTCTGCTAGCCCACTGGCGGGTGAGCACACTGCTGCTGGGCTGCAGCATCCTCGAGCATGGCCATCTTTTGCAGAACAGGGCAGAGCTATTGCAAGCAACGGCTGTAACTAAAATTTAACTAACTGGAGCTCCTCCTCCGGTCCGTCTTTGGCCTGTACCTCTAATTCTTGACTCCTACCTGCTGTCTGAACTGTCCCACAGCCTTGCCTCTGGCCGCTCAACGACCGAGGTGTCCTCCTCGAGGGAGGCTGTCAGCCCATGGCTGTTTTTTCTGCCAGCAAGGAGAGAATACCAAGGTTAAGAAAGCAGCTTTCAGCTTTTTTTTTTTCCACAAATGTAATTCAACACAGCTGAATGGCTCCGCTGGCAAGGAGAGGGTCCTCCCCTGCCTCACAGCTTGCCGCATTACAACACCTGCACATGAGGGGCAGCCCTGAGGTTCATTGCTCTAAGGGGAGCAATTTTCGAGCGGAATTAAGCTCTCAACAAGGCAACTGCTGCTGCACCATCAGACTCCCACTCTGCCTCTCCACCTGCCCTTTAAAATAAGAGGGCCACTGCAGAAGCCGGGCTCATGCCTTGGCTGTTCTCATCCTCTATATGGAAAGACTGGGAAGGGCTTCCCGGTCTCTCCCTTGCCACTAGTCACAAATTTTAACATTTTGCAAGTTGCAAGCAGGACATGATTAAAACCACAGGACCGAACCTGTACAAGAAGGAACAGAAATTAGACAAGCAAGCCAAAGAAAGGGTGGTTAATATTCTTGCTCAGTTTTTGGAACACCAAATCTACAGTGCAGGGCCATTAGAGGCTCTCCAGGTGTGAGCAACGCTCTTGCAGTGAGACAACAGTACCCACCTCTTCATGCAGTTGTGCCCTTGGATCTCTAAGCTCTTTCCTATGTCTTTACTAATTCCTGTAGAGAACCGATGCTACTTTTTTTGCACTATGTACACAGTGTGAAATATGGCCCACTCTTTCATAGAAGATCAATATGATGCACGATAAATACTGCTATTGATCTTGCAGTGTTGTAGACGACTCTCCAGCTCTATGGTATATTAATAGTAGTTAACCAGTAATTCATTTCAGGACGGCTGGTATTTTCTTTTAAGGAAGGTGAGTGCTCGGGGTCAGTTACGCATACGGGTCTTATACAT